ACAAACAGGAGATACTAATCGCAAGTGCTCGAGTGTACGAGAATGTTTCTCTTACGGACACAACTCCTCCTGAGAAGCTTCCTTGCAAGACTTTCACGGTGATGCGACCTGTGGGTTCATCATACCCCATGCATTTCGAAACTGAAACCAAGAAGCAACGAGGCACATATATCTTAGAAAGGAGCGAGCAATTCTTACTGAGTAAATTCTTGGCCTTGTTCGAGAAGATGGATCCTGATGTTTTGATGGGACATCAACTTCAAGAAGTCGACCTTAGCATCCTGCTCAACCGATTGAAGGAAAAGAAGACTCCTGGATGGCATCGATTGGGCCGGTTGAAGCGTGGAGATTGGCCCAAGAATTTCAACAGGGGCGGAGGTTTCTTCGCCGAGAGACATCTCATTGCGGGAAGATTGATGTGTGATGTGGCCAACGATATGGGCAAGGTGAGTTCCTCAACATTCGGGTAGTATTGGTGCTTGTACTGACAGGATATAGTCCCTCATGATGAAATGTCAATCGTGGAGTTTGACGGAGATGTCCAACCTTTATCTTGGACCAGGCAATGTACGGCAGGAACTGGATAGCGAAGCAGCATTGAAAACTTGGGCTACCACCAAAGATGGCCTCATGAACTTCGTGAACCATTGCGACACTGATACCTACTTCGTTGCCGCATTGGTACTGCGACTTCAAATGCTGCCTCTGACTAAGGTGCTTACCAATATTGCCGGTAATTCTTGGGCACGTACCCTTAGTGGTACACGAGCCGAGCGTAACGAGTACATTCTGCTCCATGAATTCCACCGGAATAAGTATATCTGCCCTGATAAGTACTCTGCCAAGCTACAGAAAGCGGAAGAGAAACTACAGGATGGCGATGACGATGATGCCACGGACAAGAAAAAGAAAGACAAGTACAAGGGTGGACTTGTTTTCGAACCCGAGAAAGGCCTCTACGATCGATTCGTTCTTGTGATGGACTTTAACAGTTTGTACCCGAGCATTATCCAAGAATACAACATCTGCTTCACGACGGTGGAACGGACTGCAACTGTAAGGGTCTTTGCTAAAAAGCTTTGTGCTAGTACAAACTGACATGATCTACAGGCCGAAAACGAGAATGAAGAGAAAGTCCCGGAAGTTCCTTCCTCGGATCAAGAACAGGGAATCCTCCCACGGCTTATTGCTACACTTGTCGGCCGTCGACGAGAGGTGAAAAAGTTAATGAAAGACAAACGCGCAACACCTGAACAGCTTGCGCTGTGGGACACGAAACAATTGGCTTTCAAGCTGACTGCTAACTCTATGTATGGATGCTTGGGTTACACTCAGAGTCGCTTCTACGCTCGTCCCCTGGCCATGCTCACCACGTTCAAGGGTCGTGAGATTTTAAGAAGCACAAAGGAACTGGCAGAATCGAAGCAGTTGAGAGTCATTTACGGTGATACCGACTCCGTCATGATCAACACAAACATGGATACACTAAGCGACGCCCTGAAGGTCGGAGAGGAATTCAAGAAGTCTGTGAATGAAAGATACCGGCTTTTGGAAATCGATATTGACAATATCTTCCGTCGACTGCTATTGCACGCCAAAAAGAAATATGCCGCAGTGAACATGATGGAGGTGGATGGCAAATATGTGGACAAGTTGGAAGTCAAGGGTTTGGATATGAAGAGGCGTGAATACTGCGCCCTGTCAAAGGAAGTGTCTCAGAGACTCCTGAATGAGGTTCTCTCCGGCGAAGACCAAGAGATCGTCCTCAATCGGGTCCATGACTATCTACGAGATTTAGCAGGCAAGATGCGAGAATTCGCTATTCCCGTCCAGAAATATGTAATTTACACTGTACGTTCATGTCCCCTTAAGTTAAAGTGAGTGAGGCGCTAATGTTTCCGCAGAAACTCTCTAAACGACCGGAAGAATATCCTAACAAGGAGACGATGCCGCCCGTTCAAGTGGCCCTCCGAGAGCTTTCCCGCGGCAAGTCAGTCCGGCCGAACGATGTCATCTCGTACATTGTGACAAATGGAGATTCCGAAACATCCTCCCTTGCCCCAGCAAAGCGCTCGTACACGCTTCAGGATGTGATGAAACCTGATTCAGGACTCAACCCCGATATTGAATTCTACCTCTTGAAGCAGATTTTCCCTCCCATTGAGCGTCTCTGTGCTCCGATTCCTGGAACTGATGCGGTTCGACTGGCCGAGTGCCTGGGCTTGGACGTCCGCAAGTATCAAATCAATACTTCTAGCGGTGGCAACCAGCAGAACACGGACATCTTCCCACTGGAGTCGCAAATTCCGGATTCTGTTCGCTTTGAGAATGCTGCCAGACTAACACTGACATGTCGGTTCTGTAAAGAGAAATCAGTCTTCGAAGGGCTTGCAGCATCATCCCATATGTGCAACGCCAATGGTCTTTTCTGTCCGAATGACGCTTGCCAGAAACAGTTCACTGTTTTGACGATCATCGCACAGCTAGAAAGCCAAATTCGGGCCCAAACCTCCAAGTACTACGAGGGATGGCTTGTGTGTGACGACTCCGCATGCGGTAACCGAACGCGGCAGATGAGTGTTTATGGCCATAGATGCCTGGGTCCCCGGGGTCACGCTGAAGGCTGTCTTGGCCGGATGTCTTACGAATACTCGGAGAAGCAACTTTACAATCAGTTGCTGTACTTTGCTGGTCTCTGGGACGTGGATAAGGCGCGGGTCGCCGCAGAGAAGGAAGCCAGTGGGGAGAAGAAAGATAGTGTCGTTGCTCTTGCTTCGTTTAACCGCGCACGGTTTGAGACGGTCAAAGGCGTGGTGGACGCGTATTTGAAGAAGTGCGGGCGGCAATGGGTTGAGATGGATACTCTGTTCCGCTTTATGCTACCGTAGACTTGACGCATGGAATATTAATTGACTGGCATCTGTATATAGTCTGCATGTTTGGATGGTTCGGGTCTGTTCTTTCTATCACTGCGGATAGCGCAATTGGTTTTATGTTTGGGATGATGGGATGAGGTTTATAAATATCAATGATAAGTTCGAAACGTCTGCCGTTCCACACGAGTGTAAAGGCACGTAGTTTGATTCCAATATGAAGATTATCTTGCAGAATCGTTCTTTCGTATCGTATCTAATGGGGAGTTCTGTTGGTCAGGAATAAATTATATCGAATGCCCCACACCCCGCCAAATAACTTCTTTGCCGCACTTCCGCCGGCTGTTAAACCAGTTACTAAAAAAGGACGACTGGTCCAGGCACATATCACCTCTGTCCATCTCTATCGGTGGATACTTTGTGAAATCACTGTGCAAATCGCTAATCTGCCATCATGTCGGTGAAGCGTGTTTTGGTTATTGCAGGTTCTGACAGCTCAGGTGGCGCGTATGTTTCACTCAATCCGATCTCATGCATTGCAGCGATCTGTTTCCACTCCTCGAGGAGCAGCCATACTAATGCATATTCAGTGGCCTGGAAGCAGACCAGCGGGTTCTAGCTGCGCATGGATGTTATGCGCTAACTGCGACCACTGGACTGACAGCCCAGAATACTCTGGGTGTACAGGATATCTTCGTTGTTCCGGCTGAATTTGTTAAGAAGCAAATCAATGCCGGTCTTGAAGATATTGGAGCGGATGCCGTGAAGCTTGGTAAACACTATCTTATTATTTTTATCTCATTGTAGGGTCTAGTCTGACCAATTCAAGGGATGCTTTCGTCCGCAGAGACAATTGATATTATTGCTGAAACGCTGGTGGCCCACCAAGTTCCGTCGGTGGTGTTGGATCCGGTAGCCCTTGTTCAAAACTGCCCGAGATACACTTAGCATCTAACATTACAGCAGGTGATGATCTCTACGAGTGGCTCTAAACTACTACCTGAAGAGGCCGTAGAAAAATTGCGGACGAAGCTTCTGCCACTGACGACCGTTCTTACTCCCAATATCCCCGAAGCGAAGCTGCTGCTGAAGGACGCCGGTCTAGACGTATCCGAGCCAGAGGGTCTCTCAGACGTCCTTCAGTTAGTCAAGCAAGTCAAAGCTCTAGGCCCCAAAGCTGTTCTCCTCAAGGGCGGGCATTTACCTCTCACCAAAGATCATAAAACCGCGCGCAACCAAGAAGAGGCTACCACAGTTATAGATGTGCTTTACGATGGAGAAGATGTAACACTCTTTGAGACAGAGTTCTTATTATCTAAGAACACCCACGGCACCGGATGTTCTCTTGCGTCTTCGATTGCAGCCAACCTTGCCTTAGGCAAAGATCTGAAGCGAGCAGTGCATAGTGCTGTTCGGTTTGTCGAGGCGGGAATCAAGACCAGCTTTGATATTGGAAAGGGAAGTGGCCCAATTAACCACTTCCACTCGGTGTATACGCTGCCTTTTGCGCCGTACGTTGCTATCTTATTTCTGGGCAGCATGAAAAGTGAGGGTGCTAATTAACACATAAAGTGGTCGTTTCTTAGAATATGTCCTGGACCGCTCCGATATTCGCCCGGTATGGCAGAAGTTTACCGAACATGACTTTGTTTTGGGCATGGGCAGTGGCACGCTTCCCGTGGAGAAATTCAAGGAGTACCTAGTGCAGGATTATCTCTATCTGGTAGGACCAATGTACTCTTCATTCGTCCTAAGGATTTTGTCTAACAAGGTGATATATAGGTCCAATTCGCTCGAAGCAATGCGCTGGCAGCCTACAAGGCTAAGAATATGGAATCCATTGCTGCAGTAAGTGAATCAGTTACTGTTGCTTCTCTTGCACAAGGCATTCGGCTGTTCGTGAGGGTTGACTTGGTTTGAACCATGATAGTCGGCACAGATCGTCCTACACATCCAGCGCGAAACAGCGTTGCACTTAGATTACTGTGCCTCCTTCGGACTATCAAAACAAGAGATGGAAAGAACGCCCGAAACTATCGGTATGTTAACAAATTAGTGCCATCACCTGTGTAATGCTGCTAACAAGTCGCCGTTGGGACAACAGCCTGTACTGCATACAGTAGGTACATTCTTGATGTTGGTCAATCCGAGGACTGGCTCGCGTTGCAAATGGCTCTTGCGCCTTGTTTAATTGGATACGGAGCCATTGCCCAGAGACTGTACACGGACAAGGACACTCTTCGGCAGGGCAACCGATACTGGAAGTGGATTGAAAACTACGTTGCGGAGGACTACTCAGAGGCAGTTCGATTGGGATCTGGTAAGCGGCCCAGAGAGCCCTGAAATCACCCCGTTCTCACCATGACGATGAGTTGCTGACTTGACTTTGCCGTAGAACTTCTTGAGAGACACATGCGCGAAGTTTCTCCGAGCCGAATGGAGGAGCTGATTAAGATCTTCATTCGGGCAACGGAGTTAGAGATCCGATTCTGGGACATGGGATTGGGTGCTCGATAAGAAAGAGAAGAAGGTCGAAGAAATGGATGTATAGTTACGAGGCAGGGTAGACAGATCCATAATACCCATTCAGTTCCATTCAACACAATGAACTAAGTTCAGCTTTGGCTCGACTAGGTTTAGTTCGGGATGGCGAAAAAGACACGAGATCCAAACAATGCAAACAGGGCATACAATGCATACCCGCCAGTCACGGGAGGCGGTGAGGGGAGCGACAAGCGGTGAATGGACGGTGTCGGCCAAAATCTGGCATTTTGCCCATCTTTGCCATTCTCATTCCTTGGGTCAAGTCTCCTGCACTAATCCAATCGGGAAAGCGTCGCCTTCGCCTCTTTTTCGCCTTCGACTTTTTTCTTCTCCTTCCCGCCCCATCGCGACTATTTTTTTTCTTCCTCCCCCATCTCCCTTATCTATCTCCCCTTCCTCCTCATCCTTGTTTTCCTTCTCTTGGACATTCTTTCGTCCTTTACCCTCGGTCTTTATTCTGGGAGAGACTATACAACATCCCCTTCCTTCATTTAACCCCATTCTTTTGAGTCTGTTGTTTTGCTCAGTTTTCTCATCTCACACCCGCCAATAAAAAAGACCGCATAATGTCTTACAACGGTGGCTATCAGCGCGACCAGCGCGACTCCTATCGGTAAGTGATTCTATCTAGAAAAATTATCTCATGTGAGGCGATGTTGGCACCTTTCCTCGGTCAGTCCTGCGCGGGTGCTATAGTCACCGCACTGTCTTTGCAGCCCAGTCGCAAGGCCTGATCTATGGCAACCCAACACATCCTCCTTTCCTTGGATTACTTCTTCGATACAGTGAATTGTGTGTGCTAACGTGGGCTTTTGTCATTCAGCTCCAGAAATGGTGGTGGTGGCGGCGGCGGATACTCGAATGGCGGCGGCTACTCCAACTCCAACTCCAACGGTTACTCTGGTGGTGGTGGTAGTGGTGGCTATGGAGGTGGTTACGGTGGCGGTAGCTACGGCGGTGGCTATGGCGGAAGAGGTGGTGGCGGCGGTGGTGGTGACCGGATGTCCAACCTCGGCGCTGGCTTGAAGAAGCAAGAATGGGGTATGTGTGATTCCTATGCAACGCGCTATCGTCAGAATTATGATGCTAATTTTTATTCTAGACTTGGATTCTTTACCCAAGTTTGAGAAATCTTTCTACAAGGAGCACCCCGATGTCGCCAGCCGGTCTCAGCGCGATGTCGACGATTTCCGTAAGAAGTTTGAGATGTCTGTGCAAGGAAAAAACATTCCTCGTCCTGTCGAGACCTTCGACGAGGCTGGTTTCCCCCAATACGTGTTAAGCGAAGTTAAGGCTCAGGGTTTCGAACGCCCTACCGCAATTCAGTCTCAGGGATGGCCCATGGCTCTCTCTGGTCGTGATGTTGTTGGTATCGCCGAGACCGGTTCCGGAAAGACTCTGTCCTACTGTCTTCCTGCTATTGTCCACATCAACGCTCAGCCCCTTCTTGCTCCTGGTGACGGCCCTATTGTTCTCGTCCTCGCCCCTACCCGTGAATTGGCAGTCCAGATCCAGACCGAAATCACCAAGTTCGGAAAGTCCTCTCGCATTCGCAACACCTGTGTTTATGGTGGTGTCCCCAAGGGCCCCCAGATCCGTGACTTGAGCCGTGGTGTCGAAGTCTGCATTGCTACTCCTGGTCGTCTCATTGACATGCTCGAGGCCGGCCGCACCAACCTCCGCCGTGTCACTTATCTTGTTCTTGACGAGGCCGACCGCATGCTGGACATGGGTTTCGAGCCCCAGATCCGCAAGATCATCTCTCAGATTCGCCCTGACCGTCAGACTTGCATGTGGTCCGCCACATGGCCCAAGGAAGTTCGTCAGCTTGCTTCGGATTTCCTCAATGATTACATCCAAGTCAACATCGGTTCCATGGACTTGTCCGCTAACCACCGTATCACGCAAATCGTCGAGGTCGTGTCAGACTTTGAGAAGCGCGATAAGATGATCAAGCACCTTGAGAAGATTATGGAGAACCGCGGCAACAAGTGCCTCATTTTCACTGGAACTAAGCGTATCGCCGACGAAATCACTCGCTTCCTTCGTCAGGACGGATGGCCAGCCCTCTGTATGTTTTGTCTTCCACCTACTTTAATCGAACACTTGGCTAACTCTTGGAACAGCTATTCACGGTGACAAGCAACAACAAGAAAGAGATTGGGTCTTGAACGAGTTCAAGACGGGCAAGAGCCCAATCATGGTGGCTACTGATGTGGCTTCCCGTGGTATCGGTATGATGAACTTGCGATTTACCCCCTTCCCCTCCCCCTTTCCCCTTCCTTCCTTGAAAGCACCCTCACCCGTATTGAGGTTGTGTGACCATGGCACGGTGCTTAACTCTCTTCCAACATGTGTTGGCGTATATGACTCGTCCAGGCTTTGTCGGGTCTCCTGAATTGGTTCTCATGCCAGGAGGACCTTGGACTCACAGTGCAGTGTAGCAGACGTATTATTTCTTCTGTTCTGATTCTCCATCTCTTCTCTGAACCTCGATGGTCGAGAGACGGGGTTTCTTCTTGTTCCGACATGATCAAGCTGCATTCCAAGGTTACTCTAGGACCGCGATTTTCACCAGCCCAGGGACCTAACCCGCAACGGATCTTGATTTGAAAAGTCCGAGAGAGAGTGATGCATCAAGTCTCACACGACTGATAAAGGGCTCATAGGCCACCTTGCTATTTTGACTAATGCTCTGTTTGCTAACATAAGTTTGTGTTTTGAAGATGTTCGCGACATTACTCATGTGCTGAACTATGACTACCCCAACAACTCGGAAGACTATGTTCACCGTATTGGTCGAACTGGTCGTGCCGGTGCCAAGGGTACCGCCATCACTTTCTTCACCACTGACAGTAAGTTCCCGGACGGGCTCTCCTCTCCTACGACTGGCAATGCTAACGTATCTCGCACCAGACTCTAAGCAGGCTCGTGACTTGGTCACTATCCTTACTGAGGCTAAGCAGCAGATTGACCCCCGTCTCGCCGAGATGGTTCGCTACAGCGGTGGCGGTGGCGGCGGCCGTGGCGGCTATGGCCGCTGGGGTGGCCGTGGTGGTGGTCGTGGCCGTGGCGGCAACTACACTGCTTCCAATGCCGCTCCCCTTGGAGGCAACCGCCGTTGGTAAACTGCTCGTAATGCCCAGTTCAGTCATTGAGCTTGTATTCCCATGTCGCATCGGTAGATCTTGCTTTCCCTCGCATTCGGTATCCATTGTAACTCTTTACGGGCGGCGTTCGTCGAAGTCACGATAGACTATTATGCGGTTTTTGTTTTCTTTCGCTTCTCCGTTTACAGGTTCTTTCGAACTCATGCGGATACGGGTTAATTCTGGTTTCGTTGCCCTTTACGTATCTTAAAAAAGTTGTGTATCTCCTAGCGCATATTGAGAAGAGCTGAGGTTAGATAGTCTAGTCTCATGCAATGTATTTATCTGCTTATGACTCGTCAAATATACGCTTGACTTGCGTTATCATTCTGTTCCTCGTATAGATACTCTTTTCGGCCGATTAACCCCACACCACACCCTCGGTCCTACTCTCTACTCAAAGCGATGGTTGCTTGCAACCTCGGCTATCCTGGAGTACAATATATTTCGCCCTTCTCAAAACCCCCATACAAAGAGATCGAGCTATCCCATGTGGTTGTCAAGCTCGGATCTGAATATCTACGTAGGTGTGAATGTTCAAAGCAACCAGACAGCAATGAACAAGGTGGACAAGATTCTAGACCAGTTCACAGACCCCTTGACTGGGTCAGTGCATGGCGCCGTTTTCATCGCAATTGACAGTTCAGGTACCGTATTACTTGTGATTTACTACGGATTGCATCTTTTAGATCTGCCCTTCGTTATACATATGACCATTCTGACGGCATATTAACAGGGAATGTCCTCTATCGTCGTGCTGCCGGCAAAGCGAACCTTGATGATGAAAGGGCACCTGCTTTGCAGATCGATTCTCTGTACTGGATTGCTTCCATGACAAAGCTGGTGACCGCAGTGGCTGTGATGCAACTTGTGGAGCGAGGCATTGTATCACTTGAAGATGATGTCCGGGCAATAGTCCCCGAGCTCCGCGATATACAAATTCTAGAAGATATGAGGAACGGTGTGTGTACACTCTACATAGAATTACCCAACATATACACTCAATCGCTGATCTTATATTCCTAATCTGCAGACAAGGGGCTCTCGCCAGAGTTGAGCCAACCACATCTGAAGCCTCTTCAAGGAAAGATAACTCTCCGGTAAGCATCCACTATGAGAAGTGGTAATGACCTTACAGGCTTACGTTGGGACCCTTTATCTAACACATTCCATGTAGAAGTCTCATGTGTCATACAGCCGGCTTCGTGTATGACAGCTCATCGCCACTGCTGCAACAGTGGTCTAAATCCCAGGGTCGAACAGCATACACATTTTGTGGCAGCATGGCAAGTGCCTCTTACCGCTGTAACCCGAAGCAGTGTATAGCACCTCTAGCTAATACACCTGTAATCTATCCCAACAGGCTGGCTACCATCACCCGCTACTTTTCGAGCCCGACACCTCTTGGGGATATGGGGCTGGCTTAGATTGGGCTGGTCGAGTGGTAAGCCTTCCTATATCCTTCCTACTTTTTCATTCGCTCAGAGACTAACCATCCGTAGATGGAATGCGTGACAAATTCTACTCTGGAGGATTATATGCGGACGCATATCTGGTCTAAGCTTGGCGTCGTGTCAACAACCTTCCACCCAGAACTGTACCGCGAGACGCTTCCACCACAAATGGGAATGGGATATCGCGTGAGCGTCGGCCAGGGTGTCAAGTCTCTGAAGTCAGGCCCTGTCATCCTCAAACAGCCAGCGCAGCATGATCTTGGGGGTATAGGGCTCTTCAGCACGCCGATGGATTTTGTCAAGTTACTATCGGCGCTTCTGGGTGGTGGACACCCACTGCTCACTCGAGAGAGTGTCGATATTCTACTGCAGCCACAGCTCAATGATGCATCTCGTGAAGCAATGCCGAGACCTCTTGGAGCTCAGATGAGACGGGTGTTGGCAATCCAAGACGTTGGCGACACCCAACAGGCGGATCATTCTCTTGCTGGGACAATCGTCTTGAAGGATATTGCTGGTCGGAGGCGAGCTGGTACGGTCAACTGGAGTGGGCTACCGAATTTGCACTGGGTAAGTTTTTAAGTCAAGGATGACTTTTCATCTTGAGCTTGGGATTAATTTGTTAATCATGTTTGATTGACTATAGTGGATCGATCGGCAAACAGGTATCGCAGCTACGTTATTCACGCAGGTCATGCCACCGGGAGATGCCGCTGCCACTAGCCTTCTTATTAATTTGGAAGAGAGTCTTTATGCAGCGTTGGACGAGGGTGCTGCCCGTATGGATGTTTCTGTGAAACTATAGCAAATAGGCATCTCTGACGATATTCTGGTCGGGATGCACTAATTTTTCTACCTTTTTTTTTGTGTACATAAGATACGGTGCAAGTACTGAGAGACATACGTTGCTCCAAAGCTCTGACTAGGGCTCAATCTACTATGACCGTCCTGTAAATATAGTCTGCTGGATGGCGGACCAAAACCAACCTGTTTTTCTTAACCACGCAGACCACTTTATTTCCACGTGGTACTATCAATGTACTCTAGACCTGAATTTCTCACAGTCCAAGCCATCTGCATGGTCTGTCTATTCACTCCCCTATAAAACTCCGATGACTCCAGCCGCTTAACACGTCGGGACCCCTCAGCTTGTAAATTGTAGTCAAGGCCGTCAATTCCAAATTGCGTCGAAGAATACGGGAGTGCCGATTGGATAATTTCTAACATAACCGTAAGAATTCCACAAAGAAGCCAATCCCATAAATCATCATCATTATTATATATATAAGTTATTATAAGACTATACATCGCTGTACATCAAATCATGTCAAATAGTAAGAATCGTATCGTATCCCATCTCCCGGCCCATCCCGAGTCCACACACACACACACATCGTGGGGTCACATTTCACATAAGAAAAGATAAAAAAAGAACATGCAAGTCCCAGATCCCTTGCTTCTTGGTTTAGGCAAGGGAGGGACACTCGACAATGTAGCTGCCGTACTGCTCATCGCCGGAAAGACAGGTCTTCACCTCGACTTCCTGGCGATTGGCGCTGCAGCTGACGTCATTGTAAACAGCCACTGGGATTCGGTTAGGACATTGTACGAAAAAGAAAACTAAGGGGAAAAAGAAAAGCGTGACTGGAATCGCTTACAGGTACAGTTTGCCTGGTACTTGTACTCGAAGCTCACGGACTTGATGGTGGTCGGGCCGGGGAAGATCTGGCACTGGTTGATGCGGTCGCCGTACACGCCCAGCTCGCCCTGGTTTAGGGCCGAGCAGCCGGATTCGCCGAAGAGCCGGAGCTGCACAAAGCGCGTGTCGCCGACGGGCGTAGGCGCTGCGGAGACGCCCATGCCCAGGGCGATGGTGGAGGCAAGGATGGTGGTGAAGAGCATTTTGAGGGTGGTTTTGTTTGGTGGTTGTTGTTGTTGGTATTGTTGTTATTGTTGCTGCTGTGGTGTGGTGGATGTGTGAGGGTTCTTGTATGAGAGTTTGTTGTGGCGTGGTGGCTGGGGAGGTTGGGGTTGATGATGGTATTTTGTGGGGTTGTGTTGACTGATCTTCGCCGGGATCAAGCTTGGGTTAAATAGTTTGGTGATGGACAGTCCAACTGTAGATCGACATGGAGAATGTAGTGGAGTACTAGTAATTCTATAATTGTATCCTGGAAGGCAGTGCTGGTTCCCTAAAATCTGACCTCGGTATTAATAGTAAAATGGACGGGATGCGGGCGCAGACGTATGTTTCACTGACTCCGCCTCTTCCGTGTGCATAGCGAAAAGTGGAGGGACTCGATATCGGAATGACAACTTGTGTCTAGTGTGATCTTGCGGAGCTCGAGAGCTATCCACCAAGCTTTCGTGGCAAACTAGATAAATATGCACGGTGAGATCGAGACTTGGCTGTGAATCAGGGTCTTCCCTAACGCATACGTAGTGCTGGTTGTCTACTCCGTTGTCTTCAGTCCATCACGATCCACGGGACTCACCTGGAGAGACAATTTTCTATAAATATAGCTTGGGGACTGGATTCCTGGAGTTGAGTAGACTATCTCCACTGTTTACGTGGCACGCCTCAAGTTCTGGACTTCAACCGTCGAATAAAAGACGGGCGCCTGATCGGTCGAAAACCTGAAATGAGGTCTCCCATTCTATATATAAACCTATGGAAATCTTCAATCTATGTGTCAGGATTGACTAATTAATAGGTTTAGCTTTCAATCTATCTCCGATTGGACATTCCGGCTGCTTGGTTGCTCGCTAATAGGAACAAGGCTTGTATATCCCATCACTGGATGATGTTTTCTCATGATGTACTGCCTCTATGATCATAGACTCGCGATAAGGGACCCTTTTGTACAAAAGATACTCGCTTTTGTACATCTCTGCAACTGAACCTAAGATAATATTATGTGACATATCTTCCCGAACAGCAGCTATTCTATCTCCAGACATTGCAACAGTGCCTCACTCCCTCACCCACTCAATGACCCGTTTTAGCACCTTGGCGCCATCAGTTGGCTGATCGAGCTTCTTCAGATGATCCTCTAGTTCCTCCTGAGAGAGATTTCCATTGTAAACATCGTCCTCTTCCAACAACAATTTCTTGGCGAGCGCGGCCGGGACCTCTGGATGTGCTTGGAACGACAAGACCGTATTCTCTTGATTCACGAACATTTCATGGTTCTCAGCCAAGTGAACAAAGCCCAATCCGGGCTTTGCCACCTCTCGTACATGGAACTCTGGCAATTTCTTGGGGGTTTTTTATTAATAGGAAAGGCGAGGGAAGGGAGAAATCAAGGGAAAAACGCACATAAGAGTGAATGTCTGCGGCACAAGCGAAGAATTTCTTCCCGGCTTCTGTCAATTTTACGTCTTCAAGGCCAGCCTAGAATCTAGTATAAGTTTATGGTGCGTCAGTAACCAGTTAAATGTAGTACTTACAATCGGTCCCGTGGGCACGGCCTGTACCTCTCCACCAAATGCCCTCGAAATAGCCTGGTGGCCCCAGCAGATCCCTAGGATCTTGGTCTTAGGGGACTCCCGCGCTGTTTTGCGTAGGAATTCTAATACACCCAGGACCCAGGGCTCAGACGACGAGGCATCCGCTTTGCCTCCACTCAGGACGATCAGGTCGTATTCTTGGGGGTTAGGGAAGCTGCCCTGGAAGACTGGGTCGTACATGTCGATCTGGGAGTCGGGTGCAGCGGCTTCAAAGGCAGCATGATATGAGTCCCTGACATCATTCCAGAAGTCGGTATTAGGGGGCGTGTTGACGAGGACAGCGATCCGCAGTGGTTCTGGGCTGCTCATCGTGCTGGATGATTGTTGGATTGAGTATAAGTGTGGGAGAGAGAGAGAGAAGCGTTGGATTGATTGTCTTGTTGGAGTACTCAGACTGATGCTTATGTATACTTATATAGATCATTCTCTACTCTCTCCTGGTATCTAACTTGCCTTCTATTCGATTCTACATAGGGACGGAATAAAGGCAGATCGTTCATGTTGATAGGGCATCGCAATTGCACACCGTTTATGGTAAGATCGGTCCACCTGAGGCAGAGAATTTCTTCCAGGCACTGTTGCCCCTGGAACTTTAAGGCAAGACCTACGGTAATGTCCACCCAAGGGAAATGATCCAAATACTACGAGTGACCCTATCCATAGGACCAAGTAGATATCGTGATATATCGCGCTAACCAGATTGAGCGACCAGATTCCGAAGTGGGTCTTAACTACTCCAATAATGCGTTGGGAAGAGTCCCGCAATTTACCGAATCGGGTGAGCAAGAACGACGAGCCAATGAGAGGATAGCCAATGTATACCTTGGCAATCAGGAATCAAAATCTCCATCAGTATGAAAAACGTCTCTTCTTAGTATTCCCAATCATAATCTTCTCATATGGTCGACCGTCGACAAAGGAATCATCAATTGCATGTGTTGACTCACCAACGAGAGATTTCAGACCCGCTCTTATGACTCGATAGGAGGTTCTAGGCTCTGACTGTGGCCAACGCAGGAATGGGCTGAGAAACGGTGACTAGGCTCCAGTCTCCGTCAAGGGTATACAAACCAGCTCAATCCCGAACATCCCTTCCTTTCTCATACCTCTTCGAATATATCCCCTCGAGATCTAACCATGTTCCTTCCAAGTGTACACGCCGAATCCGACACGGACGTTCTCTTCCAATTCATCCAAGAGAACCCCCTAGGAATCCTCATCACGGGCATCAATTCCTCCACCCAGGACTTTCTCCAATGCACCCATGTCCCATTTGTGCTTGATATTCCCGGCACTGGGGACAACATTTCAGCCACCCCCCAGCTTCGCGCCCACATCGCGAAGCAGAACCCCCAAGCGAAGGCCATGATCGAGGCAGTCGACGGCAAGCCACCGGGGGTTCTCTCCCTTGACCAGGATGTCCTAGTAGTCTTCAACGGACAGCACGATCACTACGTGACTCCCAAATACTACACCGAGACCAAGCCGGACACCGGCAAAGTCGTGCCCACCTGGAACTACTCCGCCGTTCAGGTCTATGGGAAGTTGTCGCTCTACTACGATTCCAAGACCCTGGAGGCAGGGTCCTTCCTGGCGAAACAGATGCATGATTTGTCGGAGCAATGCGAGAGAACGATTATGGGGTTCACGGGTGGGGATAGGCCGCAGCCGTGGAAGGTTGCGGATGCCCCGGAGCGGTACATTGAGTTGATGCAGAGGAATGTTGTGGGGATCAAGATCGAGATTGGCAAACTTGAGGGCAAGTTCAAGATGAGTCAGGAGATGAGACGGGGGGATCGAGATGGTGTTGTCAGGGGGTTTGCAAAATTGGGAGGGGAAACTGGAGAGGCCATCTCATCGTTGGTCAAGGAGCGAGGGGAGCTCCATGATAAGAAGAAGGAGGAGCTGAAAGCTGCGAAGGAAGGGTAGTTTGCTTTACGATGTCATTAGTTCCTAACGGACTTGACGAGTCTAAGAGTCTTGTTGAATGAGGGTACAAATAGCATGGTTTAGTTTGTCTCTGATTACTCTGTTGTGTACACTATCAGCAGAACATGTCCATATGAAACAAGGACCACGTCATTTAGCCATCTATCCGACGAAGACTGTCGCTTCTCTGTTGGAAGTTGAACCGAATGGTGGACATTCTACAGGCCATCCTAATCAGGATTAGCTTTGGGGTTGCGGGATAAATTTAGTATGGTTGCATCTTGCCACTCCATCCATCATCAACTGACTCATATACTCCGACAGCATCAGAACACACCACAATTATTATGCCATATGTACAAACCTGCGCCGCCTAGACCAAGAAAGACAAACATCATACGTTCGCGCAATGGCTGTAAGAGCTGTCGCGATCGAAGAACAAAGGTTGAATTGCTGTAGAGAATTGCGATTATCATGGCGCTAACATTGCGTAAAGTGTGATGAGCAGAAGCCAACATGCGGAACCTGCGCAAGACTGGACAAGCGCTGTGAATATGTCCAGCCTGTGCTCAAATTTCAGAACATAACGGTGCAGGATTCAAACAGAGTATCATCCTCGTATGACACTCCATCCACAGAGAGGCAATGGTTGGCTGGCAACGAGAGGCTTGCTATCCAAGCTACACAAGGTGGCCCCCGGATAGGAAGCCATGGAATAACCAAATCGTTGCAAGTAACAGAGAGAGATATCTTTTACACCACGTATTGGGAGGATAACTGCTTACCAGCCTTACACCCAATGTTCCACTCTGCCACTCTGTTGACCGCTGATCATCCCATCCTCAACGATGCTATCCTGGCTCTGTCCTCTTGCAACATCAGCCGTCTCTATAGTGAACGCAGAACATCTTCCACCGGGCTGATGGGGCCGTTGAGCCCCAGTCTCATCCATCAAACAAGAAGTCATTTGTACTACTCGTCGGCGATCAGGAGACTAGCCACAATGAAAGCATCCGACTATCGCCACAATGCCACAGTTGTATTCATTGTCCTTGTTCTATTCGCCCACCTAGAATCGGCAATGGGCAATTTTCAAGCCTTTTATTGCCACGTGCAAGGGATGATGAGTTTTCTAGTTGACTGGCGTGAAGGAGCCGGAGATGTAGCCATCAAGCCCCTCCTCAGGTCATGGATGCAGACTCGGTACGTCGTGTGGTGGGCTCGTGCCTATTTCAGCTCGTTGGATATACATCAGCAGCTACCGTCGATCCCCTTACCCATCTCACTGAAAGAAGAACCCCGTACACTCCACGACCGACGTGTCAAGGTACTAAGCATCATGTGTGAATCACATCGGCTGAACTACAAGGCTGTGCTCCAGCAGTTCAAGAATATGAGGTCCGAAGAAGAGGCCAAACATGAAAACAACCGGTGCTACGCTGAATGCGCTTCCCTCCTATGTCACGAGGCTACGAAGTTAGACGAGTGGCTGTTGCATCTTCCGCCATCTGAGCTACCAATTTACAGACTCAATGATACGAGTAGCACGACAATCCATTTCCAATCTCACGACGCAGCTCTCAACTACGCCTACTATGTAGTAGCGCGTATAATGCAGTGTACTGGTCTCTTGCAAGAACTATGCAATCCGTCCACTTCAGGCTACGAAGGTGAATGCTCCCAAACGGAGCTTTGGGCGCAGACCTTAGTACAGATAGCGCAAGGTACAGAGATGCGGACGTCTCTCACCAGAAACAGTTATACAATCGGGTTCTCGGGCTTACTACTGGCGGGGGTTCTTCGATGCCAAAGTCTTTCTGTCGGCCTGGAGATCCAAAACTGGTTACAAACGCTGCAGGATCTGCAGCCAACTGAAGAAGGAGCTTTCCCAGTTTACCAGACTTTAAGTGTCGTCAAGGTCATCAATCAACAGAGGATGGTTGGCCGAGACGTGTTTGCTGTCACGCAGCCGGTGGACGATGGCGGTGGACACCCCAAGGTCACGGCCTACAATAGCCAGTTTATCAGCAGTCTCTTGTTTCACGGCAGATGTCGGATAAGGAACTGTCTCTTCGAGGAATGCATTACTCTGAATGTTTAGATCTATATCCAAGGTCGACAATCAATACCGCAGCTTCAGGCGATTTTACACAACAATTCTTCTACTCTCGAACAACACCATGGCAATACACAAGTCAATCCATGTGCAAGCGGATGCAGAGGCTGACCATGAAAGCCATCTTTTTCCAACATTGTGGGTCTTCGGCGTTGGTTACGGGGTTTTGATGTCTTTCGATATAGATTAGAATTTAGCTGTAGTTACTTGGGTGTTCACATCTAGCCGGCCCTGTTTTCAAAGTTTTTAGTTAATACAACTGTTTTCAATATGAATAAAGCCTATCCATTATTGATCAAAAAACCACCTATTATTAATGAATTTCTCTAACACAGAGTACGTATTAAATCTGCTAAAAAAATCAAATTACTAACATACGGAGCACTGCGGAGTATAGTTAGTTAGACAAACCCCACCAGCCCTACCAAGTACCATATCTTCATCAATATCCAACACACAAAACTACGCCCACTCCCAGCCACCTTATTTACACAATATTGCTCCCCCTCAGTGGGTCATAGAACCCAAACCTGCTCGTACGACGTACAACCAACCCCAACAAACTGGTCTACTTCGCGGCTCGCCAAGTGCCATGGGATCGCTAAATTACAATAGTGCTATGGGGGTGCGGCTTCCAACCCCATAGAAATGTGGAGTCTCCAGGCCCAACGGTGACCATTTCGGACTAAGTGACATTTCGCACATTTTCTAGAATCGTACGATCTCCACGGACGCTAAGGTATTATACTGTGTAGGAATTGTTGACGTAATAGAAAATAAATGGTGGTCATCAGCTCTTATTCCTGAGTGCTACTGGGTATAGTTGCCTTTCTTGTCATAGATAGTTTCATTCGGACATGTCGTCATCAAAATCTGCCTCCTCTTCCGTCTCGTACTCCTCTTCTGGAAGAGATCGTCAGTGGATCAGGACCAAGCTCCAGCATTGCAGAGACAATGGGAAAGAGAAAAAAAAAAAAAAAAAAAAAAGGTACCCACCTTCTGCCCAGTCAAAGTCGAAGTATCCATTCAGTTTAGATCTCAGATGATCGCGGACAAGATGCTCTGTTATATCGTTAATATCCGTGTCGTCCGTGGACTTTAAGATGGATAAGCGGAAGCCTCTGTTCCCTGGTCCCAGCTGGTCGATGAAGTCAAGAATGTCCTTGCCTTTGAATGCACTGCGGCCGGCGATGGTGAGGCCTTTGAGCTTGGGAAGACAGAGGAGTGCGTTCCATATTCTGTTGCAGAAGTATTTGCCGTCGATCCAGAGTCGTTCAAGATGGGGTAAATGGGGTGTTAGTGCCATAAAGTCCTCCATGATGAAACCGCTCGATACGCCTTCGAGCTTTAGTCCGCGGAGATTGGGTAGTTGGCTGATGCCCTGGATGAGGGATTCGTTGTGCTCGGGTTCGTCGCTTCCTTGGCCGTTCAGGTGCAGATATCGTAGTGATGGGTGCTTGTGGAGGGCCTCATGGAAGGGACTTGCCGTGTGTATCCAGTAGTCTTTTAATGAGAGGCTCGATAGATGGAGACTCTCTTCAGGGAGGACTTTTGCGAGTAGAAATGGGTCGTCATCCGTGAAGTGCACCAGTTCCAGCTGCTGTAGGGTTTTACAGCGGCGTATCCAATCCGCCACTTGGTCTATAGGCTGGGGAGGCGCTTCATCGCGGATCCAAACTGTGTTTGATAATGCTAAGACTTTCAATGCTGGTGGTGCGGATAGTGAGACTAGCTCAGCGACTGCCGTAGTCCTCAGCCTATCCAGACTGAGTACTGCTAGTGAGTCCCAATGTGAGCTCAGGGCCCTGATCGAGCGGGGTCCTTGTTGGGAACAGTTAAGCACTTCATAATGCTCCAGAGTATTAGGCCGCAGTTTGTTTAGAAAATTTTCCAAGGTCGCATCTCCATCAATAGGGGGTTCTGAATACCTAGTAGTGGATGCTTGTAAGTAGTACTGCCCAAGAGGAATCGTACAGGACCATACCATCCGCGTATTATGATATTTTTGAGGTCGGGGCAGTGGTTGCGAATCTTGTCTACCACATGATCCGTGAGACAAGAACCGGACCAGATTCTCAATGTTTGCAGAGAGGGTAACCGTTGAAGGAATTCAAGCATGGAGGGTTGCACTGGATACGCTGTAGGCTGTCAGGCACGCCCTACTGCGCTGGGTTGTCATAGTATGACCTACCATTGCAGGCCATTCCCTTTATCGAAGTTAATCGTTTGACAATTGCTTTGCTATTATTAGCTCAACGCGGCACACAGAACTACTATAGAGCTAGAGGGTGAATAACGCAGGTTTGCCAAGACAAGATTAAACTGACCTGAGCTGATTGCGAACAGAACAAAATCTTTATCAAATGACTTGGAAGAGGAACGAAGCCGCCTGTTTCCTTTCATCTCATACTCATGAGACAAGTAATCATCAATCTCTGGGGTAAAGAATGCTCTATACATCGTTAGAGGGACAAGCGTCATCTAGTGACAGCGCTGACCTACTCCTTTTCATCTTCATGGTACAGCACACAAAGAAGGAACTCCAGGCCTTCAAGGTCCAGATAGTGAATATAAGTATAATAAGGCAAGTACATATACTCCAAGGCAGACATCACTATGGAGCGCCACATCTTAGCCCATTTGCGAATCGAGTAAATCTGCACATCATCTATAGCGGCTAACGTCACAGACGTCCGAGTTAGGAAGTCAGAAGGTTCGAGAGTCGAAGAATTACGCTGCCTGATATTAGATATCAGTGGATGATTCATGGCATGTACAGCGACAACACCTTAGTACTACCTATACAGAACCTGCAAAGCGGGTTCCGTGAAGCATCGGGATGTTATGGCACATTGATACAAGCTGTTGTAGTCGCGCTGGTCCGCGAGGATGTTAAGAATGATATAGAGAACATCGCCGACTAACGGGAAGGTCATCTTGACATGAAGAGGTCAGTCAGTGGCGATGATAAGTTCGACACGGCTCCTACATAGAAGAACTTACGGCGGACTAAATCGAGGTTCTGGACAAGGTAAAATTATAGCATGTTTTCGCGCTCCGTTATGAAGTTCAGCACGGCTTATGTAAGCCCGCGTTCGTGTTTGGATTTCATGCAACTGGTCCGAGTCCAGAACTCCTCGTCTTCCACTATAAGTTTTTATAATACCAGTGGTTGGCATAGAGACTAGTAAATGCAGACAGAATATTACCACTGAAGAGACATGGTCGCCTTATCATTTTCCCTCGCCCCTGAGGCACTGTACCAGCTGCATGATGCACTGACGTGCCTGGCCAAGTTCCATGAGACTGTAGCTATCGAGGCTGAGTTCGATCTGGTCAGTACCCTAGAATTGTTCGAACTATGTATCTTTAGAGTATATCTGAACTGACTGGAAAGCCCAGCTTCGTCTGAGTGTGCTCAATTCTACCAAAACGGCATATTCCGCCTTTGTTTTCGAGGCAGACACCTTCTTCGAGTCCTACTCCTTTGATATGCCACGAGGCAGTAGAGCATCTGGGGCTGCCCGTCCAGATAGATTCTGTTTCCAACTGTACATTAAAGTGAGAGAACTTCCAAGGACTGCGTTTAGTATTTGTTCTTGACACTAACATTCATAAGGCATTGCTCTCGGTCTTCAAGGGTAGAACCAGGGACAAGGATACCGCAGTTGAACGTTGCGAGGTTGAGTTGCATGAGCACCCGGACCAAACTGAATGCAGACTCGCCATTAAGATGATTTGTGGACTTGGTAAGGAATCAACAGCGACCAAGTAATCTTTCTCTGGGTTTACTCTGACTATCATACTAGGAGTCATCAAATCCTATAAGCTCACTTATGAACCAACTACGGTTAACCATGCTGTCTTTGACAGAACGAAAACGACAAATCAGTGGAGCATAGAACCTAGATTTCTAAGAGAGATAACAGATCATTTCAGCCCCTCTGCAGAGCAGTTGGATATCTGCTCTGATAACGGCAAGGCTGTTTTCACTAGCTTCACTACCAAGATTACCGATGGAAAAGGTCTGATACATCCATTAACCGTTGCAGTACTGCGCTAATTAACATCCCACAGAAATCCTCAAGAAGCCGGTGCATACATCGGTGGCTATCGACAAAAAGGACTTTGAATATTTCTTGGCAGAAGACAACCTCCACATTGCTATCACCTTGAAAGATTTCAAGGCGGTAATAGCACATGCTGAGTCTGCACATTCAACAATCACAGCTCGATACACACGCCCAACTCGACCCTTGCAGCTTGCATACGACTTTGGGGGCGTGAAGACCGAATTCACTCTGATGACAACAGGGGACTCCGATAGCGATATCCCAGATTCATCTCATGCACCAGAATTATCAGCAAGGCATACGCCTGCTCCGGCTAATGTCAGCCGAGTGAACGTCACTTCTAATACGAGCCATATGCCTCCGCCCCGCGCGCGATCCATTCGTCCGCTCACCGGGACTCCGGGGGCTTCTGTTCGTGGCACAGGGATGACCACCGAAAGCCAGCGGCCCCCCCCTGCATCCATCCAGTTCGACAGCTTGTTCGTACCAGCAGATGATGATAGGCAATGGGATGTACCGAACGACGAAGAGGAGGAAGAAGCCGAGGACAGACTCGGATGGGATGCAACTGGCGATCAGGTATGGCAGATAGAACGGATCTGCTCAAGCTCATTACTGATCAAAGCCAGCAGACATTCGACGAGAGTCTCGCTCCCCGCTTGCGAGATAATGAGCCCAGTATGCCTCCCCAAGATACAAGTCATGAGGAAGATATGGGTTTACCCCCGACGCAACGTATATCACAGGTAAGAGGATTCCGCTCCACTACAAGAACCGGGCTAACATTTCGTAGGTTCAGGGTCTTGGTCTTTTCGACTGAGGGGACCGAGTTCTGCTCCAACACATATTGATCGGGTGAAGGTCGTCAGCCATGGCCCATCAATCAGTACCCGAAATGGAGTTGACAGATTCGCCTCCTCTTCCTGCGAGACCATCCGCAGGTCACGACATGACAACCCAGCTAGTCGCGCAACCCGCCCCAACACCAACAACATGGGATTCCCCTTCTGTAGGAAGAGGAATCAAACCATACTTGCCCTTCACATTCCCCTGTTCATCTGCAGCAGGCCCACAATTCCCATGCTCGCCCCAACCAAACGCCACAACCATCCCACCACCAAGCAAAGCAAGAGCATGCTCGCTTCCCACTGCCAACTCCCTCACAACCGGCAAATCCGCCGGCGGAAGCTGACCACGATCATTGCGCCCCCAAGCCAAAACACCCTCATCCCGCTGTACATAAACACCATGCCAGCTAGCCCAAATACCACGATACGCTCCCAAGGCAGGAGGAGCACCAGACAAGACATTCCACCTATTATCCGCGGACCCCAAAATCACAAACTCCCCCTTGCTCCTATCACCCGTAACAACAGTAAACTCGCGCCCACAAACAGCACCCGTCGCTCGAAACGGCACCCCCTCAACCTTGACCGGCTCCCAAACAATCTTCTGCCCCTTCGCCGCCTCCCCTAGCTGACCCTTCCTCGCCGCACCCCATCCATACACCGACCCATCCGACAACACGACAACCGTATGCCCCATTCCACTCGCAACACCCACAACTTCTGCCCCAGACGGTGGGAAATCCTTAACTATCACAGGCCGAGAAGCCCGCACAACCCCCTCCCCAAGCCCCAGCTCCCCCTTCGCCCCAGACCCAAGCACAAACACCCTATCTCCCTCAGCAGCAACAAGGAAGGTCCCCTCCCAGCACGCCGAAACGTCCCTGAACGTCTCGCAAGACCGTCCCCTTCCATCGTCTTGTACAACAACTCTCCGGAATCTCGTCAAGGCATCCCCGGGCTCAACACCACATCTCCCGTCCTCGTTACACCCCGCCGTGTACACGGCTCCATCGGAGAATAGAAGAAGAGTGTGGTTTCCCCCTGCAGCTATGCGGCGAAGGTAATTGGTTGATATGCCTTCAGTTGACTGTAGAACGTCTGGTTCTGTTGCTTCAAATAAACATCTAGTTGGGATTGAGACGTCTTCGTCGTGCCCGATGCCTAATTGGCCGGATCCATTGGACCCGAAGGCGAAGAGGGGCATGCCAGCTTTATGTGGTTGTGGGAGCCGCTGAGGCGGGTTGAGACTATAGTAGATTGTGTGTCTTGATGGTGTACTTTCATTGATTGCGATATCGAGAGAGACGTTGTATAATATCAGTACATCATTCTGACGGTGTAGTGGGGTTGATTTCTCGTCTGTGAGTAGTTGTTTTATGTATCTTTTGGGATACCGCCTACTGTTTGTGGATGGAGTCGTTATACGAATAAATGGATTTTGAACGGTCACCTGATCCCAAGGGCGGAGAATATCTTTCTTTATTGCATTCGGGAAGATTACGTCGGAGATTTAATTAGGAAAATAATGTATGATGATCCAGCACGCTATTGATTGGGGTATGCAACATTAGGCAAGTCTATACTATATACGCGGGTATTCACAGCACCCAATGCACATTGCTCTCGTCAACCGATTCAACGTCGTCACAAAAGAAGGAAAATTAAGCTATACAGATAAAGAGACGAGAGGACTCCATGCATAAGAATATACCACATCCCAAAACAGTCAAAAGAAACTCAGCAAATGGGTATCAAAGCGCTCAGGTGGATTTTTCAGACTTTTCGTTGAAAGACATAGTCGAGTCATCTTCCTGGGCCGCGGGAGGTAGGGCGAAGTTATCCGACTTCGAGTTCTGCTCCATTGGGCGGAACATGGGGCTCGTCCGATGGAAGTACGCGTGGACGTGTCCTTCCAAGAGGCTCTCGTCGGTATCCATGGCGAGGTCCTCACCCTTATCCTTCTCAGCGATACGAGCAGCCATGGCAGATTCCCATTCGGCACGGTACTCCTCGACCTTCTGCTTGTAATCGGCATCAGCATCGTAGAGCTTGCCCTTGCCCATCAGGCGTTCCCAGAGGGACAAGTGCTTTGGGTGGACAGCGGGACCGTGGTATTCGTGCTCACGGCCGTCGCGAATGTACTGCCAGCGACGTTCCTGTTCCTTGAGATCCAGTCCAGTGGTATCGGGGAGGAAGACGTAGGTCAGGACCATGCCCGCAAGACCGAACCAGGGAACCACATAGAACTTGGTCTGCGTGTCGATGTAGTTGTACAAAACCGACGCCAAAAGAGCACCAGCCTTACCGGCGGCGGCAGAAAGACCGTGAGCGGTGGCACGAATCGGAGTGGGGAAAACCTCCGCGGCAACCAGGAAGGTCACCGAGTTAGGGCCAAACTGGTTGAAGAAGGAGCTCAGGAAGTACATGGTTTGGAACTCCTTAATGTGCTCCGGCGAGGTGTAGTACTTGTAGTGGAAGGCGGGAACGACGAAGAGGACGAAGCACATCAAGAAACCGACCATCTGCATCCACTTGCGGCCGTAGAGCTTGTTGTCGATCAGGAACGAGGCGAGATAGTAGCCGACCAGCGAGACACCGACGTTGCACAAGTTCCACAGCCAGGTTGGCATGATCGACTTGGAGGCGGGGCTGATGACCGAAATGAATTCCGACTGGAAGAGCTTGTTGCCGTAGAAAAACACATCGTTGGCGAACCAGCCACCAGCAGTCGCCAGGATACGGGGTCCAAAGTACTTGAAGGTCAATGCCAGAGAGTTGAAATCGTAGCCAGTCACGGATGCCTTCTTCTTCGCCGCCGCCAACTGCTTGCTAGCCGCCTTCATGTGGTAGGCACGGTAGTAGACCAGCCACAGAGTGCCAGCCGCCGGAATGGCAAAGGAGATACGATACACCCATTGAGCGGACACAGTCGAGTAGGGAGGGTTACCGCTGCCGTGGTGGAAGCACAGCAGCAAGATGATGAGGATGACCTGGTTGAAGAACTGACCCCAACCCTGCATCAGGAAAGCGCTAGTGACCTTCCTACCACGATGGAGACGATCCTCCTTGGTCGAGACTTTTCCAGAACCCACGGCATTCTCCATACCACTGGTAGCGGTCATGGGATATTCACCACCAACACCAATACCGTAGAAAAACAGTGACCAAGCGTAGCAGATCACCCAGCCATTCTGCGTCACACCCCAGGCAGCGGTAAGCATGATCAAACCGAGAAACATGATAGCGGCATCCTGAATCAGACCCCAACGACGACCAAGCCTGGAAACACGTTAGAAATCCATTGCCGACCAATCAGAAGCATCCAATGGAAGAGAGGTGCATACCAGTCACCGATGACACCGACCAAGATCTGACCCACAATGATACCGATGATCTCGAGGTAGTCGATGGCGTTCAGCCATTGTGCATTGCAAATTTCGTGATCCTTCCAACACGACTTGAAGGCAGCCTGGAAGAGGGGCTTGACGTTTCCGATGGAGAAGAGCACGTAACTAGAGCGCTCATGGGTTAGCGTCCGACCAGTTCTGAGGCGCTCGCGGCGGAGACAGCACTTACCCTTCCAGGCCGAGACCAGCACCGGGAAGCACCATGTTGCGGAAGTAGTAGGAGATGGGCGACAAGGGATCTTGCTTGGTCATTTCCCAAATACCGCTTAGTTCACGCTTGGCTTCCTGCGCATCGTAGGAGCCCACAAACTTGAGCTTCTTCAAGAGGGGCAAGTCGGCCCAGTAGGTGCCGTCCGGGGTATAGCTGTCATCGGGGCGAATCAGCGCGTCGAAAGCACCCTTCTCGTGATGATCCATGTCCTCGAGGGGATTGTGACTCCCCGACATATCGGGCCCATGGGGGGCACGAGGTCCAAAGTCGGCCATCTAGTCGTCGACAGGTGAGACTGGGCAGGAAGCGACTATCACAACGGTTGATCTTGGCCTGCGAGATGAGAGGTTGAGAGCTGGTTAAGCACTCTTGGTACCCCTAAGGAAATGAAGATGACCGTGAGGAGGCGTTGGACACGACGCAGGCCAAGTCGGACAGGCGCGAGGTTAACTTATATGCAAACGGACGAGAGCACCCGAAATTTCTCTGGGCAGAGGCAACCCTCCACCAGCCCGCCTTCGGGGTCCAGGCACATGGCCGAATGGCGGTTTGTGATAAGCCAATGCAGGTCTGGTTAGATCCAGAGTAGTGGCGAGGATCCACGCTGGGCCAAGAGAGACAGTCGTCTTGACAGTGGAAAGACCGGCGGACCACTTCGAGAGAGTTCGCCTGGGCCGAGAAGGAAGGGCCCATCGAGGCCAATGACAAGACCGGAACATTTTCCTGGTGGATGACATTGCCTACGACGTTTCGGCCGTAGTGAGTGTGTGATGTGGGTAATTGAGTGGTTCCTTTTTAGGGCACGTTTTTTCTTTTCGTTTTGGGAAAAAAGATTTTTTAGAACCGGAATTGAACGAAGAAAAAAAAAAAAAAAAAAAAGCCACTAAACCTGTACGGTGGAAACTGGCGGAACCCACGTTACAAGCGCGGAGGGCGGAGCTTCTCTGCATCCTTTCGCATTTAGACTCCGTGGATCAACTTCCGCCATCGTCCAATGATTGATGCACGTGGCGGCAGAACTCAGCAGATCCCCCACCACCGCCTTCTGCATGAAGTTTCCCCCCAGTTTTCGCATCCGCCAATCGTTGTCCCTCCCATTGCACACGCCCACTGAGACTTACCTGGCCGTCTCATGCTTTCTCTGCTTTTTCTGCTTTCTCCGGCTTCCGGCACGACTTCTTACCCCAATAGGGGAAAATTAGTCTGGTGATACTGATCTGGATGCACAGAAGACCCATCGTCAGTTCCCTGGGTGTTCCAAGGTATCCGTGCTCTGGCCTCCGCTGAGATTGAGATATGTCATAGTCATGGGAGCTTATTCCACAGAGCCATCCGTGACAATCTGATCTAAATTCATTGATTGGGTTACGTTGATATTATTAGGCACCTCTTTTTCCTCCTACAGATTATCCGTGCACGATCCCGTGCCGGTTGCTAGCCTTACATCATGTACGATGGTCGAAGGACGACGACTGCATGGATGGACACTTGTACAACAACGATCCTGATCTTGAACAACGTAATGGGCATTTCCCCATCGAGTATCTGCTCGTGCCGTCTTCTGCCTATTCTGGCGAGGGTCATACATACCAAGAAACCAAGCCCCCTCCATCTTGCATGCCAAGCGAAAGAATGAACTCAAGTCCCGGCTTTCGTGAACACGAATTCACGACTGAGACGGGGACACATCCTCGCTGACGGGCCGGTACCTACTCGTGGACAAAGTCTATCTCGTTTTTAGCCTGGCTGGTGGATAAGCCACCTGCATGGCATCTTGGCACCGGTCCGGGGTCTGGCAGCCAGTCAGAGTGCCCGCTGCGACCACGTTCCCCGTGGCACGCTGATAAGTGCGGAGGGCCCTTGTTCGATATGATTATGGAGTACTAGTACTCTGATCGCGAAGTGGACCCTCTCCCCCTTTGCTGTGGTCAAAGTTAACGCGACGACATTCTGATACCAGACCACATGGTCAGTTCTCCCCTTGCGGCTTGTTCACGACGGATATGACGGAGATTGTCCTGCTCTGATGGCCTTGCCGCTTCGAGGAAGAGTTCCATGGCTTCATTAAGTGTCTAGCCTACCGTCAAACCAATCAACAGGAAGGAACCAATATGCTCGTGTCATCATGAGGAAGCAGAAGACTGAGCGCTTACTTCGTACTAACACATCCTGAACCCCTAATGGCCACTGGACCAGTCATGTCAATCGAACCTTTCCTGCTTGATAGTGGGTCTATGCCTCCGTTCTATTTTGACGCATTCTTGCTGATCCAAATAATCATATGGTTCCGTTTTATCAAACACATGCGTCGATGCCCTTGAAACATTGGCTCCTTCACGTCCCACTCATGCGAATGCCCCTGGTCTGATACCCGGCTTACATGGTAGCTCGCTTGAGCCCGGTGAACAAGAAACTACTGCATCATGATCATTCCATGGGCTTCAGAGTACCGAACCAGAACCGCTGACTATCAAATCCTTCGTCGATAATCTAATTAGGTTGCGCCACCTCAAGTCGCCCATCGCCATGGCTTCTTGGACAAGTCTTAGCGAGGCTTAACCCTCTGGTCTGTTGCTTAGCTGAGGATGATGACGAGCCAACGGCAGCCAAGAACAGGATCAGAAGGTCTCACGAGTGGAACGCATTGGAAGGCAGCCTTGTCAGGCGAGTATCATTACATGACTCTCGGTCGATAGCCTCCAGTTCATACTCCGGCCACTCCGATCTCCTGATCGTTCATTTCGCAGCTCATCATTTCCCATCTCTTTCTTTGCCCCTTTTCCCGTTAACCTTTCCCTCCTGCAGCTAATAATGAAGAGGCACCAACGAGGTCCAGTCCACGTACCCATGTGCTATCCTCCCACCAATGGCTTGCTGCCGTGCTGCGCCCTTTCCATTCTAGAAGCTCCTTGCATGTCATCTACCCGAATGCGTCAGGCTGATTCCAGACCCGGACGCTTATATCCGCTGAAAGCTTCTGCATGTTCCATACTGCCCCCAACATACGTGGCCAGACCCCCATGTGGCGCAAACCTTACACACCAAGGGAATGTAAACGATGAGGACGCTAGCCGTACCCGAGATTCCGAGACGCAGCCAGAACGTAGCGCCTGAGGGCCCTGATCACCCCTAGTTCATGCAAAACAGGCGTTGACTCCGTGTGCTTAACGCGGCTATCCTGGATCGACGTAGTCACTCCCCTTACAGACCTACTATTGCCGGTTTCACGCTATTCCGGTAAAAGGCCCGGTCAGCCGAAGACACCAATAATCTGTTTCCCATTGGAAATTGCCATCCTTGTCATTAAAAACGGGTACTTAGCGAGTAGTTCGATAATCCAGTCAGCTCTGCATGCAGGAGGGTTACATCGTCAGGTGATACAACAGTTTATCAGACATCCATCATATCATTCTTATAAATACCCGCATGCGCCCTTGCGTAACGGAGAGCGATATCCAGCAGGCACTATGCATACACCCTCAGAAAATCACGCTGATATACATCTGTAGCTGTCACAAACAAGCTAGTCTCTTGTTTCTGCTCCCAGATCGGGTAATCGGTCACATGGTATCTGACGCTTTCTCGTATCTGCATACAAGCTCGGTATATGTACGCGAGTCGATCACGGCATGCGTCAGCCTTTTTCATTTATCTCTTTCTAATATAGGCATCTACCCTGTTGTGCAGGTTCTGCGGCGGTGCTATCACTCTTCAATGGTTTTTATGGACAGAGGCCACGGCAGATTGATTATATCGTAACGATTCCGCGTAGCCCTTGGCCATCTCACCCACTACCGGATGTTGACTAGCTAGATCGACTCTTGGTATAATTAAGATGTTTGACATTTTATGTTTCTTGGTCAAGGTCTAGATATAGCTAGAATATAGTTGACTTAATTTTGTGGGTCTCCGCCCCGATATATGTCCCAACATGGGAGAGAGTTCGAGTACGGTATATTGACTCGGGTGATATGCCATTGAGGTTATTGACCGAGGTAATGACCATGTCACTGGAGAGTTTCCTTCTACATGTATCTTGCTAGAAGTCATATCGGGATTCATTTGTCGGTGATCTCCTAACTTCAGTGGTGCCTAATCTCTCTCAGATAGTGAGTGTCCAGAAAATATGTAGTATACTGCATCTGATATCGTTATTAAGTTTCTCCACATGATCTTTCTGCCGAAACAGGTACAGACGAATAGAAGATCCGGTGTTTGCCTATTGCCTATCTAAATACGCGAGAGGCAAAGATATGCAAGCACCATATTTGCAAGCTCTGGGGTGGTAGTCTAAGTATCCACTGAGTTTCAGGACTCGTTGGACACGTCAAGGGTGGAGTAAAAGGCGACCACGAACTATATTACCGCCTAGAGGGCTCTAGTATTCTATGTTGGAGGATCTAACTAGGTGGTATACGTGTGGCCCGCCTAGAAACTCAGCGTAAACGTACTGCTCTTCTTCCTCAAACCTGTGCCATTGCTTTGGGTGATCTACACGCGAAATGCACGATATAATACTTATATAGCATACTAATTATAAACCTGTACCCCACACAAGCACTGCCAATTCCTGTTCGGTTCATACCCGGGTTACATACTAGGACAATGTGCAGTAGGTGGACTCCATGAAAGTCGAGATAATGCTCCAGGGAGTCGACACGTCATAGAAGTGTGACCAGCCCCTAGATCCTTATCTGGTTTCAGCACATCGGCTATGCAAGTGCATAGCATGAGCCTGGGGTAATAGGAACAATGGCTGCCTATTGTATGATGACGCGGTAAATTGTACAATTGGCGGTTGGCACTCTGATTCCTGACTTGTCCCTCTCCTGCGAGTTATCGACTTGGCGAATATACTGTTGAAATACACAGATCACAGACATTGCCATGCTTCCATGGCATCATGATACAGAATAGTGGATGCTAGTTCTTGTTATCTGTGGATGTATCACGGAGCTACATGTGTTATACAAGTGGCATGCACCGTGAGCTCCACTATATCAAACTCTATAAGCGAGAGAATATACAGGGAAAGACATCACGCGAGGCTCTTCCATGAGCATCAAATCCAGGCATCAAAATTTCCCAACATGGAATACACACGGAGAATTGCACGGTAAGATCCGCCAACTATCCCTACCCCAAAAGAAAAGCAAGAGATCCACACTGCCCCGAAAACAATCTCCAGTAACAATATCATACACCACACGTGAACAAGTACATCTCCCTAAAAACTCTACCTCTTCAAAAACTGATGCCTAACCGATTCTTCTATTCTTGGACATCAAACATAGCTCGATGTACCCCAGCCAAGCCGATAGATCTACCGATGACGACGCCTGCAAGCAACGCCAGCATAGGCATCAACATACCCGATCCATCGACCGCCATTCTATCCCAACCCTGCCTTGGCGCCATGGCTCCGCCACGCCCGCCAACGCAAACCTAGCGGGCTATTTACGTTCTTCAGCAAGAGCCGACGCTGCACCTCGGAGATTCAGTGCCCATCTCGGTAATGGCCCGGGGGGAAACTGCTGGCTGCCCAAAGTTCAGACGTGTCGGGGCAAGGAAGCTTTAACTTTGTGGATCGTGCATTTCTGCATCGTCTTTGCAGATCGTTGCTTGAAACGCGGCTTTGCGTTTACTTTTGCTTTTGCTTTTGATAGGCGATGTTTGTATACTTGTGATATATCACAAATAGCTATGCTAGTGGTCATGGCTGTGTTCTATGGTTTCTTGGGAGTGTCGGGGCGGGGGGGGGTTTCACCGCTGGGGCTGTAGAGGTTATCTCTTATATTGCTATTTTTGGAACTAGGTGACTGCGGTTGGGTTTTGTATTGTTTTCTTGAGATTACTGAGGTTTG